AACGTAAGTAACCGAATTTAATCGGAAAGGCCTCGAGTTTGTCTACAAAGAAAAAATGAAAAACGATGATGGACGAAATTGATAGACTAAAAAACACAAAACTATTAGCGATCATGGCGAAAAGAGAATACGTTTCGGGGAAATTTCGGAACACTTCAGCAGTCCATCATTAGCTTCAAGTGCCTCGCTAGTTTCCTCGACTTTTCTCTTGCAATCAGAGATCGAATGAAAGAACTGCTTCTATTCTAAAAGAGTTTTCGCAAAAACCCATATCTCTTTAATGCGATTAAGGATTCCAGTGGAATATTTGTAAAAAATTGCTATTATTCTTGGAAAATTTACAAACAATTTCAAGGATAAAGCGTAAGTAGATTTTTATATGTGCAGTAATATATAGAGAAAAGTGTAAAATAGATAGATTAAAGCTCATTTTTGAGAACCTGTGGGAGTTGTATCTATCAAAATATAATGATATTAAACGTTATGATTTTAAACTTGTAGAAACAAACGAGACTGTCGAAACAGGAATTGAGAAAAAAAAAGAAAATGAAGATTCTCGATTTTCGATTTTCGTTCGATCTCTGATGTTACAACGCAACAATGAAGTGTTCAAAACCAGAATGTAAGACTCCACGTCAGATTTCTTCGCGAGAGGAGGTAATAGATTTTTTTTAGAAATGTTTACTGCAGGACGTTCTTTGTCTTTCTCGTGTATAGTTTCTCAATGAGACATATTCAATGATTGCTCAGTGATCGAGCTTAAAAGGAAGTAGAACTCCTGTGAGCCAAAAGAATTGTAGTAAGACTGTAACTTAAGAGTATAATTTAAAAGAACTCAAAGTGAATCACGTGATGATCGAACGATATTCAAAAAAGAGAAAGATGTATTTTGCACTTGTTTATCTTTTTGAAAAAGTAACTCAATGTGCGCGAATGGCATGCGAGTATTAGGATTATTTTAATATGCTCATTTATCATTTAAGCAATCGGATCGTACATATATATTTACATATATAAAGTATGACGAATTTACTGCCGTTTTTAAGGTGTGCACAAGTCGTTGAAAGTCCTTCCTAGGAATATCTGTGAAAGTCTTTTTTTTTCCTTTTTTAAACAAATTTATACTAGATACTCTCACTCTTTGTGTCTTTGTTAGTATGCTGCTGCTCGTTATGTGTGCTCCGTGGAAAAATCTCGCGAATCAAAAGGATTCGATAGAATATATAGACACAAGAATATTATTTTAATTCTAACAGTATATAGTATATATTGTTTTTACATGTATTAGATTTTTGTCCGTAATATTTTTCACAATCTGCATGCAACTGCTCGAGGGATGCGCAATATTGCTTTGGCACACTTTTTTGCACCACTTTTAATACTACCACAACTATGTCTATGCAGTCTACGACTCGCACGTCGTTTCGCAAAAATCAAATTTTCCCAAACAGCGACTAAGGAAAAAGAAACGGACGGATAACTCTGCAAAGCACAACTATCAATAGATGTAATAAACTATATGAAAAGATAAGTGGCGTTCCACTTCAATAGTATCATTTTCCGACGATATTCTGATGTTTTCTAGTTGAGAAAGAAGTCTTGTATCTTTCATTGACATCATCGGAAAATGAGGCAGTAAAGAAATGGGTCGCCTGGTACAGCAGCCTATAACGCGCGAAGATTAATGTGCATTTTGCATCGCGTGCAATAATAAGATTTTAATAATCACTAGCACTTAATTATACATTTAAATAAGATGGAGATAAAACACATTAATATTTTGAATAACGCTGTCGTACTAGACATGAATGAATTTCTATTATAATTGAAATGAGCAACTGGACATGCTGCAATGCTCTTGGGACACTGTGCGTGTGCACAAGATTTCAATGTTAACGTTCGATACGATAGTTAACGGATGGACGTTTGATTCCTACTAATGAGAAAGAGTGTTTGATGTAGGAGCAACAATCGAATTGTTTCTTTACATCAGTTATATTTTCTCCTGTTGCTATAATTAACTGCTGATCGTTGTTTACTAGAGAAAACACAACACTTTATCTCCTAAAGTATTTGTTAAATACATAATTTGTATATAATTTGTAAAATTATTCTAAATAATTTAAACATATTCCTCTTCTTTATATCTTTCGATGATCGAGAAACATAATGTTTCATAAATTAAATTTATTAAATTTACTCAAAATATAATGGCACACATATAAGTTTCAAGTCAACAGTAAAGTGATACTTTAATGCACGCAGGTTGTATAAAAATTGGTTGTGCGTTGTTACACTGAGGCTTTGGATTTGCTTCTTCTTTTAACACATTCTTTAATATACATATTTATGTATGTGTATAAAAGAATGACGATATAAGAATAAGCGGATCGACATTCAGCTTCGTACTATGCACTCTGTGTTGTGAATGGTATATAGATATATAAGAAAATAATACAATAATAATTATGATAATGATATAGAAATACGTGTATATGTACACACACACACACACACACACACACACACACACACACACACACACACACACACACACACACACACACACACACACACACACACACACACACACACACACACACACACACACATATATATATACATATATAATATATTTATATAATCGAAACATCATGCTATTTTAGGTATAAGTAAAGACAATTTTTTATATACATTACGATTATGCTGAAACCTGATGATAATATTTATCTATTTGTCGAGAGAGAAACGATGATTCTATATTATGACGTGATTCTGCGTCTTGCTTTGCTGATCGACAAATCTCGCTCACGAAAGTTACTTGTATAGTGCATCCCTCTTTAATTTACCACAGAAGAGTCGTATTATTTTTGTCCAAAACGCTATATATATAAGAATGATATATGTAACGTTAAACCAAAAATTATAATAATGTAAATTTTTTTACATGATTATAAATTTGATTTTTTTCTGAATTATATATAATAATTATAATTTATAAATATAATTATAGGATTATTATTTTCTATAATTATATAATTGATTCTTATTAATTTGTTACGATTTGCAAAGCGCATATAAAGCTATCCAATTTTTCGATTAATACGACTCTTCAGATTTCCATTAGAATTTTTAGGCGTAACCATTTGCTTTTTATCAAATATAATATTAAATATACCTAATGCCTATAGCAAAAATTGCTAAAAAAAGCCGTTTTATCTCAAAGATGAAACGTGCATTAATAATCTAACACAAATTATTCTTATAACTAACTACTAAGCTGATATAAAGATTGCGATAACAAACTGAAAAAAAAGAATCATGCGTCATGGAATTTCTGCCATTGTACTGTGTGGAGGGAATAGCATATCTACGCGCATGTAAAACATATTTGTCTAATGGAGATTATTTTTTTTATATAGAAAACGCGTCCGCTGCAAATCTCATCACTATCACTAATAAGTGAGAAACGTTAATGGCATTCTGACATGAATGAAGAATTGACATACACCAACCGCGCTTTATATATAGTTGCATAGCAAATATATTTTCTATTCCTTTCTACTATTAGGATTGTATAAGAAAATCGCCGATAATAGATAAATGTGAACAAAAAAATGAATCATAATGTAGAGGGAAATATTTCATGATGTGAGATTATATAATCGCGAATGTAAATGTATACCTACAGTAATAATGGCAGATATTTTATATTCATATCATAAACATCGTAATAATCTATGTGCTATTGTAGTAATCCCTAGGCGCAATTTTCACAATATGTTTGTAATTTTTAAAGATAAGGCATCAAAAAGGACAATCCTGAGAGAATAATTTCTCACAAATAACTTTTAGTTTTTATTTTATGTTGATTCTTTTTAGTAGTATCTTTTAAGATTTTATATATCATTAAATTTATTTTTTTTAGTATCACATAAGACTCTGAAAACGTTTGTTTTCTAAAAAATTAAAAAATTTCTTTAATACTAAGTGAAATTAATTTGAGATCTTTTTTCAGATCATTATTTCACGTTTTGCAATGTAATTTCTTTCGTCGATGCCTTATATTTAATTTTGTTTCTTTTTATTCTCTTTAATTAAGTTTTAAGTAAGTATTGCATCAATCAATATATTCATCCTCTTTCGCGAATAGTTGTCCCCGCTTCTCTAAAGTTTGTTTTCATCGGCTATTGTTACATCGCTTATGTAACAGCACTGCCGCGTTAGTGCGTGCACAATCGTTATCCTATATCCTGCATAATTATTCCCAATATACCTCGATGATTAATGCACTCTTTGATGAAACGTATATATTAAGCGAAGCACAATGCCAATAGATTAGTATGTTTATGGTTGCTAGTGCCACCATGTATCGTCCCCAACATACATATTTGCCTGCCTAATTACATCCCGATGTGCGATGAACATACATATGTGTCGTTTTTACAGAAAAAAAAGAGAAAAAACGCTATGGCTTCTTCCATGATGTGACAGAATCTACCGATAGTTTCATAGTAGATAATTAATGTCAGACACTGGATGTTTTCCTATTGTGTAACTAGCAAACTTTTTTTGTTTCTTTTCGTGAAACTTACACTTATCGCATGTCGCTGGCGTAGTAGCATTCGTAAAAACATAGTGAAAAGCAGTGAAGAAAGAAAAGATGTATTACAACAAATAATACCACAATTATTTATATCGTGAATGCATAATTTGACTCGGTTATCAATAATTTATTATTAGTATATAATAAATTGTATTCGGGATCGGATTTTAGGAATCCGAACACATTCCGAAATATGAGAAAAAATTGTAGTCATAATTATGTGCAATAATAGTAATTAATTCTGAATAATTATAGTAATTCTGTAAATATAAATTTTCTAATATTATAATTCGATATATAATTTTAACTAGTCAGAGATGCAGCTTTTGATTATATATTATAATCTTATAATCTTAATCCCTTGGCCTTTGCATTTGTTTTATCTTATATTTCCTTTTTTTTAAAAAGAATTAAATTTTTTTGCTTTTTTGTGAAGATCTGTTGAATTTTTTTTAGATCTGTGATGTAGATACTGAAGAAAAATCCGATCCTGAAAGGTGTCACGGTGTACTCTTTTGTAGCATTTAGATGTGTGTCATAGAATTTTATTTTAGTATGGCGTTGTGAGATGAAGTAGGGGCCATAAATGACCAAAAAAGAATAGTTGAGCTTTAATAATATACTTCTGTTATTAATACTTATTGTTTTTGTTTGCTAGATCTTTTATCGTTTTTTTTTTTTTTGCGTAGATATACTCTGTTGCGTTTATGTATACTTATTGTTTTTCTTTCTTTTTAATTGATATTACAATTGTATTATATATTATTTCACTGTCAAAATCTTAGTCAACAGTAGTATATATGTATCTAGCGATAAGTTGTTATTGTTTGAATTGGCGCAAAAACATTCTCTATGTGATGTCAATAATTAGAAAATCATATGGACTTTTCGATGTCTCAAAATCATTTTATAAAACTTAATGTATATTCAGAGTTAAAAAGAAGATAGTATTAATTTTGTAAAACATGACATCTACTTAGTGATAAAAAGAAGGTAATATTAATTTTACTTCATTAACTTTCTCTTTATTAACAGCAAGAATAATGTTTTTGAGATTGTTTTGCCAATGATTTTCTTATATGTATACGCGTAGTTAGAAAGCGATGGCAGTGAATACATTCCACTAAATACAAAGATGCTATGCAATCTTTGATTAAATGGAAATTTTGCGAAAACGTAATGATATATTCACTGGATTAGATATTGTTTTCCGAGTAATATTTTGTAAGATGAAAGTAATGGTTGTGCTTGAGTGCAAATACCGTCACTGTTCTAGACTGTTACAAACATCGTATATAGTCGCGCACGGCTCGAAGCACAAGCCGAAGAGAGCATTACACTAGGCACATATCAGCGAGACGTAATGAAAATTATCATAATTAGCAGCGCTCTGCACTCCGTATCCTTATATCGATACTGTCTGCAATCACTAGTGTAATACGATATCTATGTGTAATACCCGAATGTCATCAAGTTTCTTTTGTTAAAGCGAAATTAAACATTGAATTTCCTACGAAGCGAGTCTTCTTTTCTTTTAATACATTAAATTATATTGTTTCATGCTAATATCTTGTACAATCATGTACTCATCGCTTCCGCTGTATGTACATTCATACAATAACATCTTTTAGTGATAATTGTACCTATAGTTTTAATTCATCAGGTTGTCACAAATGGTTGTCTCACTCTATATTATTCTTACACATAAAATATCAATTAAGAAAACTCTTCCAGATTTATTTACAGAATTTATTGCAAATATTACAATAAATGTAACTGTCATTGATAAGCAAGTAGTCATTATTTTACATGCCAAGATGGAACTGGCTTTAAAACGCATTCGAGTTGATTTAAGGTATTATTCTAATTACTAAGTTATATGAAAAAAAAAGCATCGAATCTTCGATGCTAATCTTTTGCATTAATAATCCATCCAAATAAATTTTCCTCAAAGTCACGTTAAGCTGCAAGAAATAATATTTTCTCGATTTTGGAACAGAGTTTTTGCATTTCACTAGGTACCATGAATTCCGCCGCTAGAATAGCGTTTGCCACGGCTATTGTCTCTTGAATCGATCGCGCCTTGATCCATATCCTGCCATTCATCCCAGCAGCAAGTTCGTACGCCTGATTCCTTCCAAGTAGCCTGAACAATGGACACTCCGGATTGAGTAATTTTCTTATGAGACTCAGCGAGCAGGTGAACATCATGCCATCTGAACTGAGCATACCGAGTTCATTTTCCTTGCCATGGGAGTCCACACATACTAATTCCGGCTCCATATCCTTGCTGGCGACTAGCAATTTACCATACACCAAATCGCCGATTTGTATATCAGGTCGGTTTTTCTTCGTGGCTCCCTCAAAAGCCAAATAAGATAGTGTCGCCTGTTCGCTGCCTCCAATATCTACTTTATAAATGTCGCCACTTTTTTGCGTCACTATACCAACGATGTTCTCGCCTCGACTGGGAATGTATCTGTAAAATAAAGTATGTGTAAAATAAAGAATAATTCAAAATGGATAAACAAAAAAAGGAGAATTAAGTTAACAAAGAATAATTAAAGTTGGGCTCTTGAGATAAAAATTAAACAATAAATGAAAATACAGGCAATTACTGCGAATTTAGGCTCTTAATTACTCATGTTTTCATTTATTGTTTAAGAATTAAGTTAACTGAAGCTTGGTCCAAGTAAACTCTATTTTTGTTGAAGATATTGGATTGAATTACATGCGTATTTAATGTAAAATGAAAAAAGAAAATTCATGTATTTTATGAATTCATATTAATGAGTCCTCCAAAACTGATAGTCTACCTACTCACTCAATTCTAAATCTCTTTATCAAAAATATTCAATTTTCTTTATGTTACAGCAAGTTTTAATTATTCTTATTAAAATGTACTTAATATTCTCTTTTTATACAATATTATTTTAGTTCTTTAAAATTAATTAGTGTCTTTAAATTAAATGGATCTTATAGATTCAGTATAACTGTGTTACAAGATGCTTTTCAGCAAGAGATAAGAGTATTTTCCATTTGACACAAATCGGCAATTTGACACAAGTTCTATCTTACTCAATGTCAAGACTTAAGTCAAAAAAGATAGAATGATATTTATGTTGATTTATATCATTAAATGGTAAACAGATGATATCACTAAATGGTAAGCATAAACTGCTTTCCTTTTAGGAAACACAGTCGACATGAATATCATTTTATTCTTCTAAAAATGATATTTTATATGTTCTGTACCGTTTCTGATAGCTATCCACATAGTAGACGGCCGGCTCGCGTTTCCTCAGAACACCCGCTTTACAAATGAGAACGGCATCGTCTTCACGACGCAGTCCAGGGCCCAGGATTACGATCTCCTTCTCGTTTTTGTTTTCTTTTTTGAATGACGTGATATTCGTTAAACTATCGCCCGGCATCACCACGTCGCCTACGCTAACTTCCATCCCGAGAGAAAAGTTTTTCTCAGCTTTTTATTTCACTCGCGCAATTAACAAGTGTATCCCATAATTTTCTTGAAACTTGAGACTGTCGGTTAAACGTCAACCTAACCTCAAAACCATCGCAACGTGCGACCACGTGCGTGATGCGGACTTGTCACCATTGTGACAGAAACGTCAAAAAGTATAAAAATTTCAACTGAATTTCATTGACACTGAAATTAATCATTTGTTTTGTATTACTGTCAAGAAGGAAATAATAAAATTCTCATGATTCTCTTCAAATCTGTTCTTTACAGCTGTTTTATTTACGTTTTACAGGCATTTACAGCTGAACTTTTCGCACTTTTTCTTCCTTTCTCTTTTTCTTAGAATTTAAATGGAACACTCTTGCATAACGTATAACACGTAATGCATAAGAAAATGTACCAATCAAAGTCCTTTATTTCCTTCCTTTCCATGAAATAAACTCTGATTGGTTGATTTTCTTATGCCTCGTGTTTCTTATAATTGTGTAACTATTTCATCTTGGATGCGAAAAGTGCAATATGTAGCTACACTTCCGCTGACTTTCGGAAGAAATTGTATTTGTTTATATGTAAACTCTTTTCTCGTGATCTCTTTTCTGTCGACAAAATGGATACAGGAAGAGATTCAAATGGTGTTACAAAACAAAGAGATATCACAAGTAGGCATACATTACGACGTAATCAAGAAACGGACAATCCTTGTTACAAGGTATCTAAATAATTTATTGTTTTATAATTATCGAACGTTGCATGAACACATTGTCGGTATTCCTTTTTATAGCGATACAAGTATATGCTTATGTATCGAGAAAAGCCGAAGAAAAAGCGTAGCTAAGAAAATGTAGATAAAAGAAAATACTGTTGGTAGAAAACCAAAGCGTTGTTAACATGTTGCGTTTTTCTCAATTTCTAGGAGTATCTCTTGTCTCTGAAATGCCTCAGTTCTGGTAAAGGAAACTCTCATGAGACATGCCAGCCATATTTCGTCAATTACAGGAATTGTAAAGATTTCTGGGTAATTTTCCTTCTGCAATCCATGAAGATACAAATTCATGGACGTTTTTTATCAAAAGACAATTAATGCAATGCATCATTTCATTCTTATTGTTTGCTAATGTTAAATAAAGATGGAAGGATTCAATTGTGGATGATTTTTGTTTACAAGTGAATAGTGATACAAGTCGATACAAATATCATTTCTATCTTCCTTGATATTCAATAATACCAGGGACAGAACACTTGTGATGTTAAATGAAAAACACCTTATCATTTATATCTTGCTAGAAAATGCTCCATATCCACAAAATGATATCTTCATTAGGATTATTTTCCTTACAGGCTTCTGTACAACATGAGCGCAAATTGAAAGATATCGAACCGTACCTGCCACCTCCGGAAGAGCGCGCCAAAATAAAGACTGATTTCCTAAACTCAAGATAATGATAGATATAGCACACGGCTTCATTTGTAAAAATATTGTTTATTTCGTAATATTCTTCGGTGTCTTGCAATATTACATTGTAATATATTACGTATGTATATAGTCCAACAAAGTTTATATATAAGCTTGAAAGATATTAAATCCACATTGAAAAGAAACTGACATTTTCATTATTATCATCTAAATTTCTTCTTTTAATACATGTTAATTTTATTTTACATACACTTGGAAAACATTACTTTGTGATGTATCTACAATTGCGATCAACTGTGAGACAAACAGAAAAGAGAGAAACTAGTTCTAGTTGCTACATTCCATTGTAGCAGAATTTTACAATTTATGAAAATTATACAAGATAATCATATAATAATTTGTACACATATTTTATATAACGCAAATGTACACTCGATACATAAACTCGATATAATTACGCATTCGATCCTTTCTTACTTAACGTACACATTATTTTTTAAATGCATCTTAAAGTACACGATGTTTTACAATCAAAAAAAATATATATATATATTTATTGCCAATAATTTAAATAATTTTCCAAACATTAATAAAAAAGAGAAAAAGAAAAAAATAGCTAGATACAATATTATTAGTCATTGATTAATAACGTCCGAGGGACGATACATGTCGAAAACGAAGAGGTACATTTTTAGTTCACTGCTCAATGAGCTCGGCAGCATTCAAAGAAAAAGTATTTGTACACACATATTATATGTAAGCCCAGCAGAATATTATGATGAAGAGAATGTTTATGGACGAACCGCTGCTCTTGGAGATAAAGCGGTGATAAGGATAAGTATATCACAGTAAATAGTCAAACGCATTTCGGACAATTTTGTTATTGTATAGAAATAAATAGGCAATATCTAGCAGACACACTTTTCTTTTTTTTTTTATAGATATATAGAATAAAATGGTGCTATCAAATCTCTGCGAGCAGCATTACTATCGTATTTCGCGTGAATGGCACACATTCTCATAAAAACGTGATTTAATAATTTCCCTTTCTTAGCTGTTCGAAAGATGTTTTGTCATAAATGTTAATGCCTCGTGATTAATCCTAAGAAAAGTTCGTATATGTGTGTGTCAGATCTCTTCTCCCTGCTTGCTTTTCCGTGTCAGTTTTTATCGACCTTTTCTTTGTCTCTTCGTTCTTAGCATGCATCGTCGGCAAGTAGTCATTCGGAATGATCTTTTATGGAGAAAGTCTGAATACGGAAATGACGGCACATTTGACGTACCTGTAATTACAAAACCGATCATGTTAGCATAACAGAAAGAATATAAATATTATAAATTATAAATTATAAAAATATAAGTAATAATTATCATTAACTGCAGATCTCTTTCTAAATATATATCTAATTGAAAATACATTAATATTATAATTATAATCATAATATGTCACGTTAAACTTACCACACAAGTGCCATAATGAATATGTGCCACTAAGGCCACTACAGAAACTAAATACATAATTTCCAAATCTATGCTTGGCAAGATAAATGAAAGAACAGCGGCCACTGCGATTGGCAATAGTAACCACGGTAATATCTCACATCTAGTATTACTCATTTGTGATACGATCAATCGGCACTGCAAGATAAACATCGTTTACATGAATACAATGAATATGCGAGAAATAAAAAAATTACTAAGTTAAATATATCTATGCATTTCTTACGCATATATTGGAAAAAATAGTGCCGATGGCAAAGTATATTATTCTCGGATCTTTTTCTAGAATATTGTTTGGAGAGTGCATTATCCAGAATGTGGAAATTATAAAGAATAAAACTAAAGGCACTAAAGGCCGTATAGCCTCTGGAAACGTCCGCATTTTTCCGGTCTTATCTCTGTATGATCTGCAAAATAATTCAAAAGATAATTATATTAACGTAAAACTTTTTATTCAAATTTTGTTTTAAATAAAATGAGCTTTTTAAAAATAAGAGAGAACTAGATAATTGAATATAGAATACTTTATTAATATTTATTATCATGAAAAAAAAATTAATTATCACAAAAAAAAATTTCAGATCCATTTCGTTTTTATCCAACAAATATTTTAGTACACAACAATAATTTTTAAACATGTATTATTTATTACAACGATAAAATGAACTCACTTGTATATATTCCAAATAACGACTGGTAAGTTGGACACAAGTGCACTAACATAAAATAACATTTCAAACATCATTCCCGCCGATATACCACCTGGCAATTCAAATTTCCAGGCTTCGTGTCCACCTATGCTAGTAAGTGTAAATACAATAACGGTTGCCTATAAAATCAATAAAAAATTGATGTAAATTAGCAGAGATTGGCATTGATGAAATAACGAAAGTCAATTAGTAATATGAAAAAAATATTATTTTACATTAAAAATCATATTTCTTCATAGCAAACTTACCAGCATGGAAGCATCATATCCCCAGGGAAGAAACAGTACACCTGTGTTATATTTCTCCCAATGACTTAGATAGAAATTAATGAATACATTCCACAGTATAAAGTACATTCGTAGCGGCGAGACGCTATGATCTGTTCTGCCGAAGACTGAGTACATACACACTGTGATCAACATGGCAGTCCAACTATCTAAACCGTGATCAAATAGTTCCCCTAAGGGACCGGACGTTTGTGTGCGTCTTGCCTGTTTGCCATCTATCCCATCTGCAATATAATGATTATAAACGAAATTAGATTATTGTTGTAATCAAGAAAGTGTATCATAATAACTGTACCATAATTTATATACATATTTCTCTTGATAAAATTATGTTTATTATTTTCTCATCCATTGCTTAATATTTAAATTTATTATTCTATTTTATATAAGTTCGTGTATTTATTCAAATGCAAAAGATAGATTTTCATAATTTACAAAAATATTATCTTAATTATTATTACACACGCATGCACGCACGCACGCACGCACGCACGCACGCACGCACGCACGCACGCACGCACGCACGCACGCACGCACGCACAAGGTGTCCCGAAATTCACTTAAAATACTATATAGCAAGAAAATTCTCGAAAAATTAAGTTAATGTAAAAGTATTAATTGTGAATTTTTATTTTTAACAATAATTTTTAAGATAATAAAGGTATTAATATAACTAACTACAGACTATAAGTCACCTACTTATGAACAATGTTATCTAAAAAGTGACTCATTACTCAAGTGAAATAATCTGTAACATATAAACATCTATATTCAAAAACTATTGCTCAAAATAAAAATTTATAAACAACTTGTCAGAGTTGGCAAGTAACGCGTTATTTGTAATGTCGTTACTGTTACACATTACTTTTATTGGTAACATTTGAGTAATGATGTTACATTTTCTTCTAAATAACATTCATGTAACGCAGTTAAATTTTTGAGGTAATGGTAACGATTTCATTAGTTACTTTTATCGTTATTTTATTTCTATTCATGTAAAAGTTTTAATCATAACTAGAGTATATATACATATACATATTTATCAGTCTTTTTAATATTTTCCTCTACTAAAAACAGAATTCTTCCATCTTTTTTATTGTTACCGCAAGAATCTGCATATAATAGCGTTTGCTATATAATAGCGTTTTTTATTAGTAGAACTGATACACATTCAGTGCACTTTAAAGCCGCTGTACAATCGACGTAAAGATGTATATAGGTTAATAAAAATATATATAATAGGAACGAGTTAAACTGCGAGATTCTCAATACATTTTATTATGTTATTTGATAAAATATACTTTAAGCATTTTATGATATCTCTCAGATATCTCATTTTTACATTTAGATTAGAGTTGTGTACAACGGTTTTAATGTGCATTGAGTGCGCACAACTTCTGCCAATGAAAAATGCTATATAATATTCTATTAGAATCAAGAAAAAAAAGTAACGACTCGATACATTTTGAGTGACATAACAAGTTACTTTTTAGGAAAAAGAACGTAACGTTGCCAACTCTGCAACTTGTTTACTTTTTTTTCAAGAACTATCTTGCTATATTATTTTGAGATAGTGTTGTGTGTGTGTGTGTGTGTGTGTGTGTGTGTGTGTGTGTGTGTGCGCGCGTGCCTGTGTGCGTGCGTGCATGTGCATGTGTGTGTATAAATATGCATATATATGTATATTCAATATATTAAAATAAAAACACGAGCATCTAAAAACACGAGCAAAATGACATAGATGATTAACATTAGTTTATTTAAACATATGTACATAATTATTCAGTAAACATACGCGATATTCTTGAACTTATAATTGATATATGTATCTATATATATATATATATATATATATATATACTTTTACACCCTTAACTCCTACATGTTAATATTAAAATTATATATCAAGCACCAAATGCACGTACCAAGCGTATATGCCATAAAAATGTTAAAAGCAGCCATGGCAAAAACCCATCGTGATATTGGAGGATATTCCGGCTTGTCATCGCTGGACGCATAGAAGTAGTAGTCATGAATCGCAAATAGCATAAAGTTTAGCACGGTAAAAAGGAATCCAGAGAAAGTTAGTACATTTGGAGCAACCCACTTTGGACAATACTAAAACACAAGATGGAATGATTATTTTATAATAAAAATACTATATAAAAAAATCATTTTGTTCTACTGCAGAACACTACTCTACAAAATATATAGATTAAAAAGAAGAATTTTATAACAATTGTTTCATCACTGAAGCAGAGTAATACCTGTACTACTTTGTTCCAAAAGGGATGCATAACATACACGCTCAGGGGACTTGTGTCCAAGGAGCTATACTGAAATCATAATATATTCAAAATGATTTAGTAATAAAGCTAAACATTGAGAGCATAAAATATTATTTCAATTATTTCAATAAAGTTTTATGTGTATTTGAGAAAAGTTTAATATATATTATAAAATATAAAATAATTTTATGACTTAAGGTATACACATGTTGTAATTGTATGTATTATAAAACTTAACGTATTCATATATATTCATAATTTCTTCAAATCAATAATCTGAACGTATGAAAAGTATATTCAAAATCAGCTCACCTTATAACTCTCAAACCCCGTGAGATGCTCATCCGTTAGGTATTCCACCTCGAACTTTAGCTTATGATACATCTTGGAATCTCAGGAATCTTAACTATCTTACGAATTTAATGTCGCGCTCTCTGGGAATCGTTAACCACGCGATGAGAGAGGCGCCGGGCGGTGGGCGCCAATAACGCGCGAGATCTCCGGTGAACTCCGGCCTTTCACAAGGATTCCTTTTTTTCTTATTTATACTGTACGCAAAATCGTCTATCACGTCGGCTCATCGTGGTATCGGTCGTACCTGCGGTATTTTCACAATGAAGAAACAAAATTCAGCAAAGCTTGGCAGCCTCCCACAATTGCTGATTTCCACTCGAGACGAGGCGCAAGATCTATCTGACCGTCGTCGCACGACGAATCACCTCACCCTCACCACTCCTCACGAATGTTCACGATTCACGATTTACAATTATGCATGTATTACGTATGCACGCGTAACGAGTGATCCCGGCACATCGCTCATTGTCATCTCACAGACCACACTACCGCACACAACGAATGCGCGACGTGCATTTCCACCAATTCCCACGTTATTAGAAGAGAAGAACGCGCGCGGCACCGGCTGATTGTTCATTTGTTCCGTTACGTCCATTCTCGATCGCCCACGCGTTTGCTGTTTCAGCGGTCGAGATGGAAAAGAGACATGCTTTAACGATTGAGCTTGATAATACAGAGTCGTGCATTTAGTGTATAAAATAGAATGATTTACGATCGATATTCATAATCAGATTATAACTTTATTAGCCTCTACAATAAGTCGTTAATCATAAATCAGAAGACAGAAGGTAAAAATTGACTAATCACAGTCGTTAATTTTTAGTTTCTACTTTATGACTAATGACTTATTGTAGAAGGCCCATAAAAACCTTCTCAAATGCAGTTTTAAGATATCATAAATCAATCACAAAAACCGTTCAAGAAAAATTCTTTTTCAAGTAAGTATTTTTCTAACTTCTACCTTTCAAATTTAAAACTTTTCCACAATTGTATAAAGTATAATTTAATTCAAATCACCGACGAGATATTATTAAAGATTGATATCCTTGCGGAAGTTCGCGTCCTTGTGAATATTGAAATAATTAAGAGTTAAAAACTGATAATATTGTATTAATTTTAATTTATTTATTAGTTTAATAGACGTATTTATGCATTTAGAATTTAATAATACTCGATTTTTCTTTAAAATTGTAATTTCAGTGATCGTCAAAGTTTAATTATCAACAGAGATGATAATTGCAGAGAAAAAATTGTAATTTTTCTACAATATATAGAATATTATAACTTTACAAATATACATATTTATGAAATATTTATATAATAAAAAATCATGAATTTAATAATGTATGAGCCAAATATTTATGTTAATAATAAATTTATATTTTTTACAATTATCGATAATAGCATTCTTCAATTACCTTTGGGCCCTTGGGGCCCTTTTTATACCGCTGAAAATTTACGCAGGGTTGACGGTCTTTAATAGTGTCTCGTCGGTATTCAAAACTTCGACTTTATGCCAAGAACGAAAAAAATTGAAAAACAGTTTTATTATCGGCTCCTGATGTCGACTGTTAACAATATTTTCTTTATATATAACTTTTATACTTTTACATATAAAATACTCTTGATTTGGACTACATAAAAAGGAATTACATAAACAAACTGAATTCCTCAGAATTAAACTTACATATCTAATAAGAAAGATAGTTGGAAAATTTTTATATATGTTGCATGCAATATTGATAAATAAGATAAGTATTACGTGACACGCAAATCGTATGTGTTAATTAAGTTCCTGAATCGATAAAACAGACGATTTTAGGATCTCCTTAGATATTATTTAAGACAATTTAGAAAGAGAACTATTTCTTGCAAGGATACAGTAGTAGTATTTTCTGCAATAATTATAGAAATACTAACTACACACAGTGGCCAGCCAATCACGAAGCATATATGAGTAGTCCAGTTATACGAGCGGTGAACGATCTGAAGTTTCTTTAGTCCTGGTTTCATAAAGGCCGAAGGTTGAGAGCGGTTGTGGATTTTGACAGTTGACATCTTTACGGTGTTCTCGACTGACTTTTTGACGTATGTCTGCATGACATGACGTAAGCCGGCGAGACATATTCTAAACACGCTGTGTATTTTATCGATTAACCGTCTGAAAGATGACATTGTGCTAATTTTGCTGATTGACACGTACGAAGAAGCAACGACGCAAAGACCGGTATTTGCAGGCATGGGCGATGCTCTCGCTGTTGTCATTACTTGAGAAACGTCAGAAGATCATTGTATGTCTTTGTATGCATACATGCTGTGCGTTTGATATAAAAAAATCATATTAACTCTGATTGTATTGGCAGCTTAGTCGTTCCAGAAACTTCACCATGGCCTCTGCCACGGAACAGCAGCAGCAGCAGCAACAGCAGCAGCAGCAACAGCAACAAACAACGCTAGAGTTTTATCAGGCGATGGCCGACTTTAAAAACATGTTTCCACAGATGGATGATGATGTGATAGAGGTGAGAGAAGTATCGACATGCCAAATCCATTTCTACTAATTTAAATTAAATTCAAATTTGATTAACTTTTTTTATTCTTTTCTAGTTCTAATTAAATGAAGATTAATTAAAATAAGACTAAGAATATGGCTGCATTTGGTTTAGATATTTATACATTATATAAGCTTCGTTTTATCTTTATCATTGTTACGTAAGAAAGATAGAATTATAACAAAAGCAGCCTAAATTAAATCAAGAAAATGAATCATTGATATAAATACATAATGTAGCTACTATTATGTGGTTTTATTCTAGGAATATATTTGTATTTTATTATATATTTGCAGGCTGTACTAAGATCCAATCAGGGAGCTGTGGACACCACAATCGACCAATTGCTTACCATGAGTACTGACAATGAGAACGAGAAAATCAGGAGTGAGCTGGAACAGAAGGAAGAGCTTCCAAACCAAGTAACTGCGAAGTCACCCAGGAAAGACTCGAGCAAAGCAGCATTAAGAAGCAGCGTTCAAAAATGGCAGCCTCCACTGTTGGGACCATTGCCGGACACCTTTCTAAGGCTCCCCCAGCAAATATCTGATGATGGCATCGACTCGGCATATTTGCAAGAGAATACTATGCTAGAGGACGAGAGGATCGCTATGTTTTTGCAGAATGAGGAGTTCATGGCGGAGCTTCGTTGGAATGAAGATTTCCTGTCTACATTAGAACATGGTAAAGAATTGAGGAGACTGCAAGGAAGTTCAAAAGAGAAAATGGAATGTTTTCTTTCTCTTGTAGACTCAAAGCTGGAGAAGTGTAGCAACCAGACCGGTCACGATGACGAGGATCTATTCAAAGAAAGACTGAAAAATATGGGCAAACGTAAGTAATGAATTGAAAAACTATCATTTAAGTTATATAAAAGTTATATATACATAAAAGTTATATATACATACATACATATATATATATATATATATATATATATGTATATATATATGTATATATATATATTGTTATTTTTCTAATAATGAAAACCTTTGCAGTATCCCGACGTAAATTCGCGCAACTTACGAAGGTGTTCACTCGCAGTAAGAAACGCGGCGGCAGACAATTGTTACCACCGACAGCTTCTTGCGACGATCTTTTGGATCCGGAAGAATCGTCCAAACCTCAGTCCTAAAGAGAGATCTATATCTATACGATCCTGCTGGAATATTTGTTCTTGTTTCTCGTCATCGTGAGACGGCAAATTCAACGACATTTGCAGCTTAATTTAGATGTCATATGTCACGGAAAGAAGCATATCTATGTCGTGACTTGCGATAGACGAGATAACTATCAGGGTCGTGTAAGATATAAATTAATTAGCGATTCAGGTTTATAGCTCACTTGATGGTTGACAATTAGCTGTAGAGATAATGGAATTACAAGGTTTTAACTTAAAGGTGCGTCAGTGAAACAAAGATTCACCGAATAGAATGGATATCGAGTAAAACGCTTGAAACGATAAAAAAAAATTATCAAAAAACCGTATCTCGGTAATCATGCAGATATACATAGGAATTAATTAATCTTAAAGCATTAATCAATCTTAGTGCGTTAATTAATCTTAATGTATTTTCTAGTAAAGACGCAGATCTGTTTCTGATAAATTCAGTGTGATATTTTACGATGTTGTGACGTAAAGTTTATTTTAATAGATTTTATATTTTGTTGTACGTTGCTTGCGATTATCCGTATTACTATTACTGCATATTATTGCGTATAATCGTTTGAAGACTGACGCAAGAAAGTTTTACAGAAATCTATCGAGCGATAATTTCGATAGAATTTTTTATCACTGATATTGGAAAAATACTTAATTCAAATTAATAACAGTCATCATTGTTTTACTTAAGCGTAATGAGTAAAACAAATAAAATTTTTATTGTACGCAAAATACGCAATGCGTCTTGCTTTCTAGCATGTACGGCTACGAAAGTAATTGATGTTGTATATATATGTTCATGTGCATCGTACACCGATAGTGCGTCAATGTTAATTAGCCACAATAGTTTATTGAAAATTTAAAAAAAGCGCAACATCGATCTGGATTGGAAAGAAAATATGATTCTTTTGAAAATTCTATTTTCGAGAAAATAGAGATCTGATCTGGTGAGATAAACAATTGATTCGTCAAGATAGAGATAAAAAAATGGATGAAGATTTATATTATATTCTCATGAAATTTTGCATTATTCTAAATAATTTGCCAAATTCAAAATTTAAGACACTACACGAATATTAGATGCCTTCATTCAGCCTTTCGATTCTACTTGCGATTGCAAGTAGTAATTGCATCTCTTTTAGACATAAAACCTAGTCATTCAGTCTAGCCATTATTTATTGAACAAAAGCTTTGTTATTGTAACGATATCGTGTGAATGTAGAAAATATTTATAAAAGTGATTGTAGACAGTCTAAGTAATTTACAACATGTGCTATGATGACAAACACGTATGAGAATAAATTGGAAGAGTTGGAATGAGTATT